CGTCAGAAGGAAAGTTGATAAAATAAATGAAAAATGTTGTATTGTTCGATACATATGCGTACTGAACCGAAAGCACTGTATCGAACGGTTCAATATCTATACGAGTATCGTTGCACCCCTAATTAAGACATAAGTCATTACTATGAGGTAAGGTTCGAATTATGTTTTTTGCAAATATTTTATTAGCAGAAAATCTCAAACATTTATTGGCATCTTTAGTCTAAAAATTGTGTCAAACTTTGGGATTGTGAGTGTGATAAATAATGTAAAAAAATAAATAAATAAAAACATTGTTTATAAGATGTTGTTTTTTTTTAATTAAAAATATTGTTCATAATGAAATATAGTCCCTCACACAAAAGAAAATATGCTTTTTTTGTTGTTGTTTTTTTACAATAAAATTTTTATCTTGATAATGCAGGTTAACAAAATATCTTCACTTTCTTTCAAAATATCAGAAGCTTTCACCTTTTCTTTCAAATATATAATAAAAAAAAATAAAAAATTACGAGCCCGACACGGAACCCGACGTATTAGCCAGAGGTCCCTTTACTACAGTTCGGACCTGTTTTATATACCCGCAGAATAGTTTTCTATACGAGATCGCTGCAAAAAGTGTAGGCTTACCTAATGTCCAACCTACTGTTACTCATTTTATATTACGATTTAAAAATCTAGTTCGTGTTGGTATGGCGAGTGACCTTCAGTAATAGTAATAAATCACACAGCAATAGTACATTCATGTAGTTATAAAAAGCTTGATAATATATTAAGTAATCCAAAGTATTCAGAATACGTTACTCTCATTGAGTAACGTAATGGAATACAGTACTACATACATTTTGGGGCATGTATTCTGTAATCTGTAGTGGAATACATTTTAAACACTGTCCAAACCTGATGGCTATCTTTTATCTCTGTCTCTGTCTTCAGACCACTCAGTGGCGGCTAAGTCTGGAGGTTGTTTCCCTGGTGAGGCCTTGGTCATATTGGAAAGTGGAAGTCAGAAGCCCGTCAGCGATCTGCGACCCAGTGAGCGAGTCCTCGTCTCGTCAGGCAGTGATGGTAGCGGTGAACTTGTGTTCAGTGAGGTCCTGACTTTCCTCGATCGGGACCCCAAGACCCGGAAACTCTTTTACACCCTGCAGACTGAAGCTGGGGCTCAGCTCTCACTCACTGCCGCCCACCTGATATTTGTATCCAAAGAGAACTGCTCAGAAGGGACGGTGCCAGCCCACAATGCCCTCAGGACTGTGTACGCCAGCGATGCCCAGCCGGGACAGTGTGTGCTGGTGTCAGAGGGTAAAGCGGGACAGAAGCACAGGGAGGGGCGTCTGTCTCGGATCAGCCAGGTGACAGTAAAGGAGATGAAAGGGGTGTTTGCACCGCTGACCCAGCAGGGGACGGTGGTGGTGGACGGGGTGGTGGTGTCCTGCTACGCAGTGGTGGACCAGCACTCCCTTGCTCACTGGGCCTTTGCCCCACTCAGGCTGATCCACAGCTGGACTCGGACCACTGGGGGCCACAGTGATGGGATCCACTGGTACTCGCAGCTTTTACACTGGCTGGGGAGGAAGTTGTTGGACTCAGGACGCCTCCACCCGCTGGGCGTGGCTCAGGACAACAGGTGAGGAAGCTGAACTGCAAAGTAAGAGCCAAATAAGACCCTAATGAACTTCCTGCAGCGATGGGAGACATTTGGCTTCCTGCTGAGGCCTGATGGGAAGAATGAAAAAACTCGAAGTGACACAGATGAGACCAAATGAACATTCAGATTTAAAAAACTGCACAAACAAATGTTTTTTTTTTTGTTTGACATTTATATTTGTAAAACACTATGAAGCAATAATCCCTTAAAACATCCTTATTTAACTCTAAAAACACGTAAATTTAAAAAGCCATTAATTATAAAATTAAGACACTGGTAAGGTTGACATGAGTCTCCCTTAAATTGGTTGGTTATATGTTGGTGGGTCAAGATACTTATAGGTTGAAAATGATTATAATTTTAGAGGTTTCTACTTTGAAAGCTGTTTATGGTAAACTGTTGATATTTTCTGGATTATGGGAATTTTAATGTGATTTTTAAACAACACAACAAACCCCATGAGGGGAAAATGTAAGGTATTTTAAGGGTTTCCTTTAAGATACTGTTAAAATACAGACATATATTAAAAAGACTTGTAACCATTAAACATAGTTTTAGAAATAGAAAAGTTATTTGGTTTTATTAACGTTTTGAAGGGGTTTTAGCATCCTGTAATTTCAGATAATCTCTTAATTTATCCCATAATTTGCCCTTAAATCTGGTGTAAACCTCGAAACTCCCTGATTACGGAAATTATATCTGTCTTCACCTGACCCCAAACCAAACCTCTAACCCAGAAAAACTCCTTTTTTGTTAATTGATGGATGTTTCCAGTTTTCAAATGAGCTACTCCTACTACACTATGAAATCTGGGCAGATTAGTGTGAGATTTAAGGTGTAATTTTAAGGGATTTTGTTTCATAGTGGAGCCTGGGAAAGGGTTGGGGTGGAGGGCTGTGCTCTTTTGTAAAAGGACAAAATGTATTTTTTTTTCTCCAACACATGTACTTTCCTGCTTTAATACAGAGATTTTAGAATGAATAATAGAATGTATTTATGATATTATTTGTTTACAGAAAATCTAATAATGTTTATGAAGTTATTATTATGGGAAAAGAGATATTAAAAAGATTTATTTTTGAAATTAAATTATATGGAAATGAGCCGAGTGGTGCTGCCTCATTTCTGTCCCTGTGACTATATTCTAAAGTGGGTTACAAGCTGCGGTCCAAGTGAGCAGGGTATTTTTGACATAGCGACACAGAAGTGAAACTGAAATGTTTCAGAAAAACAAAACAAAACAAAAAATAATATATTACTAGGCTCAGTGTTATTAGCTCCCTTGAAAAACTGACCTGACCTGGGGATTTTCTTCTGATTTACACAGGGTATAAAAACAAAGTTGTCACAGTGTTTCCAAGTGTCAAGAACTGAAATGAGAAGTATCATCAGGAAAGCCTGGCAGAGGTAGGAATCAAAGGATTTCAAGGACTCTGACAAGAAAACTAATGACAGATGTGTCTAAAAAAAAAAAAAAACCCACAAGGGAATGTTTTACCCAAGTCAGGAATTGTAGTTTCAAATAAGACAATCAAACAATTCAATTCAATTCAATTTTATTTTATTTATATAGCGCCAAATCACAACAAAAGTCGCCTCAAGGCACTTCATAAACAACCCTGCATAGACCAAAAAAAGACTCACGTCTGCAGAAGACACACCATCACTTACGTATGCTAAGGACAACCTGGAGAAAGAATATACATACTGGAAGCTCATTCTTTGGTCAGATTAGACAGAGCTTAGGGCACTGCTAATGTTTGAAGAAAGTGTAGTGAAGCACCAGCACAGTGGTGGGAGTATTATGCTGTGGAGATGCTTCAGCATGTCTGGAACTGAGAATCTTGTCAAGGTGGCAGGAATCATGAAGAAAGAAGGAGATGTGGCGATTTTGAAAGAAAATATCCAGCATACAGCAGCAAAACTGGGTCTGGGCCGTAGCTTTGTCTTCTAACATGACAGCAAACCAAAACTTAAGCTGCTCCTGGTGAAGAAAGACCTACAGGAGACCAAAGTGAACGTTACTGACTGGCCTGGACAAGGAATCACAGTGGGGTGAACTTGAAGACCAAGGTCCCTCAAGAAATTCCGTTTTTGATTAATTTAATCTGGAGACGTGTTTCATGAATTTTCCTTTGCCGCTGCAAATGCGAGCTCTGTGTTGTCATTCATGTATTTCTGCCTCTGGAAGCATATTTTCTTTTAGGTCGAGCTGAGGTTTACTGTAAACTCATCAGTTTATGCCTCCAAAAATCTAGAGATCCATTTAGATCCTTCACTTGAGTGCTGACCTAAAACCTGTTCCTCTATTAACATGTGAAAAATATGCAAATGTGCACAGGATTTTAATTTGAGTGATCCATGTGTTCTTTGGTACTGATCAAACTTGTGTCCCTGATAAATTGCCAATAATATTTGACTGCCGAGGTCTCACAGAATAGCATGGTGGTGCAGCGGTTAGCACCATCGCCTCACAGCATGAAGGTCCGGTCCTTTTCTGTTTGGAGTTTGCATGTTCTCTGCAGGCAATCTGTCTTGTTTCCTCAGACATGCATAGAGTTAGGTTAACTGGTGTTTCTAAATGATAAAATTATAGACTGTGGTAGCCCAGTGATGAATTGGTGACCTTTCCAGAGTGTACACCACCTCTCGCCTTCTGACAACTGGGATAAGCTCCAGAAGAAAATGGATGGATGGATGCTGAGGTCTCAGTTTTCCAATCTTCATGTGCATTTATCCTGTACTCTGAGCTCTTGGATTACCAGGGTGTAAACAGGTTTTCAAACTCTGTTTGATGCCCTTTGCCATCCTGATCTGTTCTGGTCTAGTAATAAAAATATGCTTCATGAAACGTCTCAGGTGGAGATATTTACACATATTTTATGTTCAGACACAATTCGTGCCCCCTTTCTTCAAAAGATGTCATAAACTCATATTTTTATTTAAGTTCATTATAATAACACTGCCAAACACACACAGTTACCCAGAAAAAAAGAGGACAAAAAACACTCTGAGAGACTAAATTAGATGCACAACACATCCTCAAGACACCTGTCTTCAGGTGCGGAGGTTTTACCTGGACGCGCCTTTACTGACACCTGCTGGCTGCTCACAAAAGAAGCAGGTGAGCTTTGTCAGCTCTCGTGTCTGTCGGTGTATTTCTGCCGCTGATGAATGTGCGGCCTTCCGAGGGGGCATCGGGGCTGATTTAGCGCTCGCATCTGACATAAAACCCGCTCCGTGCGCATAAATAGGGCCGTGCGTAAAGACGGCAACACAACTGTTGCGCGTATGCAACAGTTGTCGGCTAATAATATCAGCCTGCTGCGCCTTTAAGAGGATGACTGAGGGGAAACTTAATATCTCTCCATATCGAGCCCAAGTGTGTCTATCAATTATCAGTTAGAATCGAGAGCAGGACGATTTCTGAATCTGTTCCTCCTTGTTCACCAAACTGTTCAGTTTTTCTGTTTTGGTTTTACTAAACGCAAATTGGATTAAATTACGCATTGCACCTTTAAGAAGCTGTCAGCAGGATTAGAGTTACGCACAGCGAGCCAAGTGTCCCTCTGAAGGGGTTTTACGCACCGTCGGCATCCAGAAGAGGCACAACTTAAGCCGCACTTCTCCTTCTTCGCTGGTCCTGACACCAAAGGGGAGTCCCACGCGCGACATGGCCGAGATAGGGAAAGGGGTCACCGCCGGGAAACTGGCCATCAACGTCCAGAAGAGGCTTACCAGAGCGCAGGAGAAGGTAAGAGTGGTCAACTTTTCATTCAGCCGATCAGCACAGGAGGCTCGCATGGCAGCGGGACACAGTGTCCTGGCGTGAAACTGGATCCCATAACTTTGTACCTTCAAACGAGGGAGAGTTAACGGACTACAAAAAAGGTTTTCTCTAAGGAAAGTTTCAGTTTGGATCAGCCTGTCCCATTAAATCGATTGCAGCGTCGTAATATATTCACCAAACATCCAAACCGCATGCAACTGTATTTCATAAAATATTAAGAGATTTAAAACCTTTTTAATAGCATCTTAAATTCCACAGTATTAATAAATGAAAACCTTGAGTTAAAAGTAGGGCCTGGGATGGCCCTTCCCCTGAAATTTGATTTGAAATTTGATTGCTCCCCCTCAAACTTTTGTTGTCATGTCAGGGCAACTTAGCCACAAGTTACAGAAGGACAAAATGGTCCAAATCCCCCTTTTTTGTTTTGGTGCATCCTTTTAAATGCTCTTTTCCAGATTATGAAAGCAAAACAATAAGTTTCTAGGCTTGAATGTGGCACAGTGACATTATTTCCACTCAGTAGAGCAAAATGTATTTCCAGGTGGAACCAGACTGCTCTTTGTTCCTTTGTTCCTCCAGGTTGAATCTTTACTTTTGCCCTGTTTCCTGAATTACTAAAAAAAAAAAGAAGCACTTTAAATAGTTTTTACAGTATATGAGGTAAAATCTCCAGTAGCATGAAAGACCTCTTAAAAGGCTTTTAACTCTTAATTAGGTGGAAACTATAAACTGTAGATAAAAGATGGATGCAACCGCTTTGACATCACCCAATTGTTTGGAGCCTTTTGAACCCTGAATGTTAGCATTTAAGCTGTTTCCATTGTGTTTTTAGGAGGCCAGAATTACCATATATGGATGAGAAGTTTGAATGCTGGGTTATTATCAAACACTGGCAAGCTATGTAGAGTTTAAGGTGGTTTTAAGGGGTAAAAATTCCATATATCATGGAAGCCATCTGTGATTTGTAGTGCTCTAATATCTTTAACTAATGTGAAAGTCCAGTGTAGCCAATGAATGGGTTTAAAAAGGGTCCAAAATCATATACAAGGGTGCTCTTTGTGGTTAACACCCATTACAATAAATGTCAATCAGCTAATCATTTACTTACTATATTTATCACTCAACTGTTTGCTATTAATGGCAAACAGCAGAGTTATATTAAGAGTCTGTAACATATCAAATTGGATCCACTGTACTGTAGAATTTAAAAAGAGTTTAAAATAAACCCCAGAGGTGATTCTCGTGGTTAAAACCCATTTAAACTCCTCACAGTAGATTGAGGGGTTTGCCAAATATAAGCAAGTTAATCCCTTATTCATCAGTCATGGGTCGATTTATGGCACAGTTAGAATACAGTTCAGTGATAGTCTTAAACACATTTGAAATTAAGGTAAAAATCAGGTGGTTGTGGTATTTAAATAACAATTATCAAACTGCAATATCTCAAAAGTACTTTCAATGGTTTAAACTATAGTTTAGATGGGCTTAAGGGGTAAACTGTCAATAGTTTGGAAGCCACCAGTTACTTAATTAAATAGAGCATTTTGAGATAAAAACAATATGGATCCAATAGACTGCTTCATATTTAAGTATTTTAGATAAAGGGGTTTAAGGCACAGAAGAAAGTTGAAGTATGAAGTATTTTAAATCAAAGAAATTATTTATACATGCCAGCTACCAGACTGTAATATATCAGAGTGCTTTAAATATACTTAAGGCACAATTTAAAGTGTTTTATGGGGTAAGATCTGAGCCATTGGGATAAATTCCTAATTTGGGGGAACTAATAGATTGTTTTATATAAGCGTGTTTTCATTAGGTTTTAAACAAGTTAAAGGCCAATTTTACATTTAGAAATGCCCCTTTGTGATTAAAATCCTTTAAAATTCCTTAAAATAGATTGAGGGGTTTGTCGCAAACCCCTCAGCTCGGAATTTATGGAATGTGACTGTTGAATAACATTTAATAATATTAAAATATTTTAAATAAAGAAAGTTGTAAAGTATTTCTAAAATATGTCAAATCTGTCTTTTAAGGAGGTTAACAGTATTTCATTGTGATAATTTTTTGTCACCGTGCTTGTAATTGGTTTTTGGGGAGCAATCTAGGTGCCACTTTAAAAGGCTTTAAAGTCTTTCATTAAAAACAGAAAGAAAAGAGAGAAAATGGTTGTAAAAGTGACCAAATGAAACCTGATCAACAGTCTGTGTTCAGCTCTGAGTTATTATTGTCTGCACTAATCACTCTTCTTACTTAAGCCTGCTGAGGTCTTAACCTGTAATCACCTCAGGGCCACACCAGGAGTGCTGTCAGTCAGTCGGTCGTAGAGATTTCACACATACTGTAAATCTCAGTTGCTGTGTCTTCAAGATTTCCTCCCCAAAATGACACAAGCGTGCAGCCACAGTCACTTTTAAATCTAGCCACCACAAACCTTTTGAAGCCATTTTAGTTTTTGAGTCCTAAAAGTTAAATTAATTTCCTCAAAATATAAACACAACAAATTGTTCTTGAAAATCAGGACCAGAAATTGGGTGAAGAAGTTGTTCAGTGTTGGTAGTAGGGAACTGTGTTAGCTTAGCATAAAGAATAAGGACACAGGCCAACAGCAATTTATTCAGTTGAGCAACACAGATCACACATTTTTATTGTCAGGTTTGACTTTGCTTAATCTTCTGCTGAGTGTTACGTGTCAGTGGTGAGAAAAATATAATGTATGGTCCTGGAAACGCAACAGGAGCTCTCCAGAAAGACCGTAGCTTTCAGTTTTCTACATTTTTGTTTGCATATTTGTGACACTTTAATGTTTCAGATCATCCAAAACATTTTAATATCAGACAAAGATAACCAGAGCAATTACAAAATGCAGTTTTTAAATGTTGACTTCATTTATTAAGGGAAAAATATTTTCCAAACCCACCTGCCCCGGTGTGCAAAAGTAATTGCCCCCAATACCTGATAACTTGTTGCATCACACTTGGCACCAAGAACTGCAATAAATTGTTTTCATGAGGTAAAGATTTTAAAAGCTGTGGAAGTATAGAAAAAAAATCTTAAAATGTTTCATAAGTAAATATTGCGCTGAGTGAAAGTGGGTAAATTGGCATACAAATAAAACTCAGATCTGGAAAGAGCCTGATCTGCATTTGTTTATGTTCTGTCATGTTCTCCTGTTGCAGTGGTGGATGTTTATATTAATCATGCTCAAAGTTTCAGATAATGAGATCAGTCTATGCATAAGTAGCTCTGAAAACCAAAAGCTCGGATGACAGACTGCCCTAATTTCTACATTTCACACAGTTATTTTCTGCTTATGGATCCATGTAATGTAACACATACCATGGTCATCTAAACCACAGAAGCCCCTCCCATTTGCTGTTTGAACCTTCTGTTTGTGAGGAGTAACAAGTCAGAAGAAAACTTTCTTAAAGAGGGAGGAGCTCAGATGGCTTGTTTCAGACAGAGGATGCACTGAGGGAGTGTGGAATAAGATGAATAAGGATTATTTCAAATTGGGACTCATGCAAAGCCCAGGTAAAAAGGATAAAGAGCTGGAAAGGATCAGAATAGGTCCTGATCTTTCTTTTCTGCAGTGGTTTAATGACAGGGACCTATAGCTCGCATGTTCTGTTCTGCTTTGGGATGCCACCCAAGATTTGCTGTCCTGACTCCTCGGGAAATAAAGGAGCAGCTGAAAATTTGGATGAAATATGACTGTTTGAGACTCAAGGAAATGTGTTTAGCTTTGTTAGAGTGTGCATAAAGTGCACCCGAAGATCATGGGATCCAAAACGTAAACCAGTTTAACCTGAGGGGAACATAAATGTGTAATTAAATTTGTTGTTATTTTGTCTAGTAGACGCCAACATCAAGCAGCTGGAGTCAGTAGGAGTCCTCCACTGGGGAACACGAATAGAATAACAAAATAACTTCTTATGTTGGGAAAAAGTTTGTCTCATATAACAATAAAGTTTAAAATGAAATTACATGTCATTATATTAAAAATGCAGCAAATATGTTTTTCGTACTTTTTCATAGCAACACTGGCTATATGGATGCATAATTTAAATGGTGCTGCCCTTCTGCTGTTTGAGCCACCAGAGCCTGATTGATCATTTCTCTTGAATGGACTTCAAATAGCAGCCGCTGCCACTGTCGCTCGCTGCTGAATGCAATGGCATCCATGCATCCATGCATCCATGCATTCAGACATGGGGACACATGTTCCCCGTGTCTGAATGGGAGAGCTTATTTAGGTGGAGGGTACTCTTTAAAAATCAGTAATAGTAATCAAGTTAAAATATCAGCACAGGGGTTTTTTATCCAGCTGCAGCAAACTTGATTTGATTGATAAAGTGGCTTTAATTTCTAAAGCTGTGGTCTGTCAATACACCTGATCAGCGAGTGAAATTTTATTATATCCAGATCCAACAGAAATCCAAGAAAACATAGTGGATTGCATTTTAAAACACAGGAAATACGCAGTTTGTTTTCTGGAAATTCATCTTGGCATTCATGCAGCAGAAGAAATCAGAAAGACGGCAGCTTTTTCTGTCCCTGAGCTTTCAGTCCTTGAGCTGTGGTGCGGTGAGTAAAGAGGAAGGTCAGAGTATCATCTTCCCGCTGAAGGCTGGCAGCGGAGGTGGAGGGGAGGAGGGAGGGGCTGGCTTCAGCTGTCTGTCTGCTGGCACGCTGCCCTCCACGCTCGCTTTACGTTGTTAAACTCCAGTGTCTGTCCTCCTATCCACAGCAGAGAGATCAGACTGTTTTTAAATATGCAGACCAAAATCCTGCAGGTTGAAACTTTACTTGAAGCAAAGGAAGAAGAGACGCTTGTAAAACTGACTGATTCTTATACACTCAAAAAATATGAATGTCCAAATCGGTTACTTTGTGCGTGTAAATTTTACATCTAATATTGTTACATATGTACAACTTAATGGAATTTGGTATATATTCAGTTT